CTGTCACTCAAAGTCATGTTTTGAAAACAAACACTCGCATTTTCAATGAGTTTGARGATAAGCACAACAACCATCAAAAAAAGCTTGCAAAAGGCACCCTCCGCCTCACCCAGAACCCGTTCAAAAAATTACAGCACTTTACTATGAAACGAAAATAGTCGAAATATAAGCTTAAGAGCGAATTGCTCAACTTCAAGTCGAAAAAAAATTATTTATCTCAAATAACCCTGAAAGCCAGTTTGATGCCTTGAGCTGTCACTCAAAATCTTGTTTTCAAAACAAACACTACCAAGAAACGAAAATAGTCGAAATATAAGAGAGAATTGCTGAATTTCAACTCGAAAACAATTTGCCTTGAGCTGTCACTCAAAGTCATATGTTTTCAAAACAAACACTCGCATTTGGGACGCATGGGTGGCCGAGCGGTGAGAGCGCTGGCCTGTCACCTCTGTGGACCCTGTTCGAATCTCGGTCGGGGCGCCATATGTGATTTGCGTGCAGTCGTTCGTTGCTATGTAAAGGAAGCGCCTAGCCGGCAGCACGCCTATGTGTAAGTGTCTGTAAAATGTGTCTGTAATATACAGGGTCCGTGCAGAGTATCAAAAACGAAATTTAAGGACTTTTCAAGGACTTTTTTCCAGGACCAAAATTGTATTTTCAAGGAGCATCAAAATCATGCTAATTGTACATTCTTACCTCAAAACTCCAGCTGAACAGAATAATTCAGAGATCGCTAGCGCTTCGTTATAAAGATCCATCTTTTTCAAGGAGTTTTCAAGGACTTTTTCGAAATTTTCAAATTTTCAAGGAGTTTCAAGTGCCCTTGAAAACGAGTTTTCAATTCAAGCACTTTTCAAGGATTTAAGGACCTGCACGGACCCTGAATATAGCACTTCGACTTGAGAGCGCGTCGAGCTGCGTCTTTCGCAATTCAGCACCCATGCTGCCATGAAGGACGATTAGCACCCAACACCTTTTCCTATTTTCAACTCCCTGAAAGGCGCAAGGGTCCTGTATAGTGAGATGATGGGCGTGGCAGTGCTGAAATTTCACCCCTAAGGGGACCAATCAATAACTGGTCATAGCAGTGGTTGTGTGATCTTACAATGACGGCTTAGGGTCATCGTATACCCTATAAGGGACCACAACACTCTGTTGGTATGAATTCTCGTCATTATCACCCTAAGCAGGACCAAAACACTGATTTCAAACACTAAAAGTGACGACGAGGACCCCACCCTTTTTAATTAGGGGAGGGACAGGAAGCCYGACAAAAGGGGAGTCTGCGAAGGAGACTACCTCAGGGGCTGTCTGTAAAATGCCAGGCACACTGCAACTGTACTTCAGTGCATCTCACCAGATTTGAAAGAAGTTAATAAATGCAGGTCTGGAAAGTTGAAACAAGTATGAGGACCACATTACTACATGAAGAAAATTTTAATATTAAATCTACTGGTGACAATTTCGACAACATTTACTTACTACTTTATATACATAACAATATCCCTAAAAGTACTTTTTTTTCCAAATCACAGTGTTAAAAATATTAATGCCAAGTTTTATACTCTAAGAGATATACAGAATGAAATTGAAAATAAGCAGCTTTCTTAATACTTGGAACATTGTTGTGGAAGGAGAACTATCCTTTTGTTTTTGACCAAGAGAAATATTCCACTTTAAAAAGCTACTTATGTTTAGACACAATTTAGACTTACATGGGCTAGTTTATAATKTTCATGGAAATTTATCTTTATAGTGGTTCTTGTTTGAAGTAGCATATTCCAAAGTAACATACAAAAAATTGACTTAGTTGAGTTTTCTCCCATTAGTGAAAGAAATGGGAATGAATACATTAACATTAGAAAAGGGATTATTTCCCAATTTAGTTACTCAGTGCTATTAGTAGTGAAATAACATCTGCAGTCTAATAGGAGGAAACTTCAAAATGTTTTCCTCTCTTTCAAGACCTTTTCTGCTTTGGTGTATTGTCGTAATTAAGAGTGAAGACAGTGAGCCTGTGAAATAATTATCCGAAACGACATAAATCCAGAAATCATGTAATATTGCACCAAGGCAGAGAAGGTATATAACGCATGAAATGTGAAAGTTAATAGAAAAATTATATATATTTCTTTAATTGAATAACTTGAGTAACTCAAAGTGCAATGAAAAGAAGTTTGGTCTGATAATTTTTTTTTTCATTTTCAGAAACTTGCCAATACTTGCATGTGTAAAAATTCAATACTTTTAAATTTGTATAAGCTAAAATATTAAATGGCAAATATCCTGCACAACTTTTGTAACCTCTATCTATATATGTAATTGAAGATATGGTGCATGGAGCCATTAAACAACCACAGTAGATGCATGTGAATATAAATATCAATATTTGCAAAAGTCATGCGGAATTCAGTTGTAGTCTAGTACTCTGGTAGTATCTATGAGATGCAAATAGTTTCAAGAGACAGTTGTTTATAATATTAGAGAGATCGCACTTAAACCATGCAACTGTACTATAAGTGCTAATTAGTTGTATTTAGTAAATCGTTCATGAAGCATTYAATACTGTCTTGCTTCAGGTCCACTTTTAGTACAAATTAGTACTACTTAGATTTTGTACAGTTGCACGCTTTAAGTTCGATCACTCTAGACCTCATAAACATGCAGTGCAAACACTAAATTTATTTGTGAAATACAACTAAATTTGAAAATGACAAGAGCGCAAACAGTAAAACAATGTAACTTCTATAGTGCTAAATTGTACTGAATTAATATGTGAATTTATTTGTTTTCTATCGTCTTATCTACACTATTTTGAGCTATTAAGCACTATTTGAGTGACTTTTTTCCACTTTTAGTATTTGCACTTCATCTTAAATTTAGCAATAATTTATCGGCTATTTTAGTGATCATCTTTCGATAGAACATTCTAAGAATAATGTAACTGCAGAGGCATAGAGTGAACGCACTTAATCCGTGCAACTGTACAAAATCTAAGTAGTACTAATTTGTACTAAAAGTGGACCTGAAGCAAGACGGTATTGAATGCTTCATTTGTATCAATTCAATTTAATTTGTTTACCGCATGCACGATTTACTAAATACAACTAAATAGTATTATTTAGTTTGTACAGTTGCACGGATTAAGTGCGATCACTCTACTATCATCATTATTCAAATCCAAGAAAATGGGCAAAATGAACTTTTATAGTAATGAGAGTTTGTGCGTTGAGTAAGGTTGCCACAGGCAAGATGACTGACTTTGATAAAACTAAAATAGTTTGCTTAAACAAGAATAAAACCAACAAAGTAGAGTGATTTTCACTAGCCTTTTTTAGAGCAACCAATCTAATCAACATTATGAGTAAAATTTCATATTTTTTTGACTTTATGTCACTGTCARGTGAAAATAACTAATTATCTATTTGCTTTAATCATCAGATATGCATGCAGTGTGTTTGCTCTACTGTAAAAAGAATTTTAATGGTAAAAATCAAAGGCAATATACCATCCTTAAGTAAAAAAAAAAACTTAAAGAAAAGAAATATAATTATCTACAGCTATAGTCATTTGTGTGTGAAGAATGTATGAATCAAGCCAGTACATCTAAAGCCCACTGTTTGGACATTGAAGCTACCCCCTGCTCATCAATGAGATACTTGACAAGTATTTTACATTCCTCGGCATTGACGTCATACAGCATTTGCTGGTCGTACTGCCTGAGTAGATCTTTTGTGTCTTGAATGCACTGAAAAAAATAATACTTAAATGTGAATCTTCATAGACAATGAAATTACATAAATCAAAATAAATTGTTTTCTGTGATTTACCTGTTAAGATTGGATGTTGCAGGACATTTTTTAAATATCAGAAAAATTAGAAAAAAAAATGAGAACAAAACGAGACAGGATGTAAAACTTGCTAAAGTCAATCATGAAAAATTGTGGATGTCATTTTATCCAAATAAGGTAATATGTAACAYAATCTCAACCTATTGCATACCTTTGGTGGCATAGCTGCAAGATTGTTGACCTTCTGTCTGACATCTTCTGCAAAGTCCTTTGAAGAAAACACTTCCATTGCTAACCCGCTTTCCCAACACTCTTTGGCTGTCATGCTTTCATTAAGTAACAGCATGGAGCAGGCCTTGAAAAACAAACAACAACACTTAGACCTTCTGGTAATGTTAACTTTATTCATAAAACCAAACAGACTTCACCAAACAATTGCACAAATATCTCAAGTTTCGATAGCCATTGGAAAAATCTAATGAAAGACTGTTATGACTTTGCCCTACACAATGCTCCATAAWGATTGTGGAATATGCTCAATTTAGTACCTTCATTCGTCCAATCAGGTGAGGCAGTGTATACGAAGAGCATCCAATGGGAGTGTGACCCCACTTGGCAAAACCCATTTGAAGATTAGCCTGAAAAACAATCAATATCTCCATTAAAAAACAAAACAAACAAACAATAATTGATGGACAGTTGTTAATGTGAACAGTCCCATAAAAAAAATATATATAATATATTATTTTATTTCCATACCTTTTCGCTGATATAAATTATATCACATAGAGCAACCATAGAAGTCCCGCAGCCTAAAGAATCTCCATTGACTGCTGCCACTAATGGTTTGTTAAAATTGATCATCATTTCCATCATCAACCTATAAATATCAAGGAAATGATATCAAGACAAATATATCAAAACAATGTATTTTGATAGGTTCCTGTTCAAATAATACATCCTCATTACACTTTTCATGAAGTTCTGAATAACTATTGTACATGTACAAGTATCCTCAGGAGGTTCAAGTTTTTCTTGCTTGTTAAATTTTGAATGGTCTCAATATTTTGTACTGCAGACTTCAAAATTCTCCTTCTCCTCCCTGTAAAATCTGATCATTTTTTTACTTACTTGAATTTTTCTACTAGAAGTTTGGCTGGAGTCTTGTGGTGCCCATTATGACAATTATCAAAAACGCAGCTATAATCCAGCCCACTACAAAATACGCCATTTGATCCAGTAATAACTACAACATGAACGCTATCATCCTTAGCTGCGTTACGAAGTGCTTCTACCATTTGCTCACACATCTATATTTCAGAAAAMAGAGAGAGTAATGTTAATACTGAATAATTACTCAGAATTATTAGAGCAYTAATATTGAATTATCAAGCATTCACAAACATTTCAACAGATATCTTGCCATGCTATGTCAGGTCTGAAGGMAAATTTTTTCAACCTTCTACAGTTTAATAATGGAAGTATTGGTGATTAAGGAACAAAACCAGTTTATAATTAAGACAGAAAGAGCCCAAGAGGGCTTATAAGTGTCATTTTAGGATTGGCCAGGTTATTCAGAATGCATTGAGGACATGTGGTTAAAAAAGCTGTCTCTTGGGCTGGAAATAATCTAATTTTCATTTTGGTTGGCTGTGTRAGGTTATGCTGTTATGGGTTTAGTATAGTCACTCTGATAAAACAAAATCAATACAGTAACACTTACTCCAACAGTGAATGCATTCTTTTTACTCTCATTACAAATCGAGATTCTAGTTACGTGACCATCCCTCACAATCGATATTGTCTCTGTAATTTGTCGTATATGTGCCACTTTTGCAGGCTGTTTCACTTCTAAGAAATCTCTATCTGGCCACTCGTAATTGTTTGTAACGCAAGCTGTGGCCATAGCCAACAAGGCTTTGTCTTTGCTTTTCCTAGGGGAGGATTTGTATTTTTTCAAAGTGTTGTTGTTATGGACAGTAGTAACAGCCGATCTTAAAGATCGTGTCTTCTGACCGTTAAACACAGGCACCTGTCCCTCGTCATTCAATACATAGCGAGCTTCATTTTCTTCTGTTTGCKTTTGTCTTCTYCTCCTCTTTCCTTTCATCTGTTCTTTTTTCATTTCAAGTTCTTTGGCCTCTTCTTTCATTATTTCATCAAGGATTTCTTTTTTTCCTCTCAACTTTCTTCGATTCATCTGTGATAATTTTTTCAGTTTAAGTTGCTTTGCTGGTTGTGCGCACTTTGGCTTAAGGTGTAAAATCTCTGATGGACGTACTCCTGATATAAAAAAGGAATTGAATTTAGCAAAATGCATTCAGCAATTAATCAAACAAATAATTTATTGAGTTGACAGATATCGGTTCATCTGGACAGACAGACGCACAGATTGGTGGACCAGTAGACAGGAAATTGCAATAGCAAAACTAACATTAAAGTGCTACTTGCATGAAAATACACTTATTTCAAAATATATCAAGCAATACAAATATATGACTCATTTATAACTATTAAAACAATTGCTGGAAAATATTTGTTTTGGAATTATCCCATATCCGAGAAATTTTGATTCAAAAGATGGAAGAACAAAAGGATGGCGTATAAATGATGTATAAATGATGTCATTTACTCCAACATTTTTTGCCCAAATTATTAAGTATTTGTATTGATCAATATCTTCTTGAAATCTGTTGCTTCATGATTATTAGACCCATATGAATAGGTCTATTTAATTTCCATGTCTTTTCTAATGTTTTGCAATTATTATTATTATTATATTACCTGGAATAGGATATGCTCTGTGAAGGAAATCTGCTGCACTACCTAAGCAGATATTTTCTAAAGGTTCCCAAGTGCTTTCTCGAACTTTGTATTTTTTCCAATGGACTAAGAATTCTTGTTTTCCTGTAACTGTAATTCGTCTTCCAATTATTTCTTCTACCTAATTCAWTTAAAACAGAATTAGGAAATGAGATAATGAGAAATGCTTTAATATAGAAATAATGAAAAGATATTGCATGTGGTTTTGAGGTGGTTGTCCTCTTCCTGAGATGCTATTAATGTCAGAAATGTTTAAAACTCAAGTTCCAGTGTAAAGATTTGATAATTTTAGGTCCTCAATTAGTTAACATCTTTGACATTTTARCATTTTACTCAAGAGATTGCAAAACACACATACAAGACATTTGTCTTTCTGGCAAACAAAACGGAATTAGAGTCCACCCTGACCCCCTTTTCAATGATATATATGTTTTCATCCTSTCTTAATTCCTGAGTATGGCAACATCACATACAATACTTTCTCRTAGGGGAGGCGGGATGAGGGAGGGAACTTTTAAGTTATGCATCTATATTGCACAAGTACAAACTTCAAAAAACATAAGCCAATCMTTTAAAATTGAAAATATTAATTTCCAACTCAAAAGTGAGAAAAATCATTTTTTTTAACCAAATACTCAAGACATGAAGATGTTGCCTTAGTTTTAATGCCTTGTTAAATTGACAAACTTGAATCAGCCAATCAGAATGTGAGATTTTGCACAAGTATGTTAATATGAAAAGTACACATCGCTTTGAAACGTACATGGCTTATAATTGTCAAGGTTATTGGGGTCTTTCGGATGTAGTAAACTTAACAAAAACAAAAGAGTACTTAAAACCTTTGATCTCACATTAAAAATCCGTAAATCGATATGTCTTAACGTCTGAGAAAGAGAAAATTTAGSTTTCACAATGGRACTACACGTGTTTATTGCCAGAAATGCCGAGGTTCCGGCTTATCTACAATCTTTCCGTTTCATGCATGGTAAATTTCGATTATAAGTACTGTAAAATGACCAAAAACCTACGCTTTYTTTGTATTTAAAGKGRCAAAGAGGACGTTTCACGCGTTTGAGAAAAAGACGTAAAAGTCAGGCAAACAGATATGAAAGAAAACATGCAAATGAGYGCGAGAGAGATGAGATGCACGTTAAGGAAAGCGGCTTGAAAACACACAGAAAATCCAAAATATGCATTTGATGAGTGCTTAAAGAGCTTTGAAGTTTGATCAAAAAGTAACAGAATCGACGATTTGGGGTAGGAAAGCTTATTAAAGTTAAATTCAGAGACTATTATCGTTGCCTTACCTCATAAAGACCATCGGCCATGATGCATTTTTCCCGAGGTGCATTGCTAGTGCTTATCAAAAAAGCGCGCCAAAACTGACGCGTGCGCAAACTTGGGCGCGAAAATGGCGCCAAATAAAARCATTTYAGCTTTTTTCTTCTCCAGAAGTCAAAATATCTTACAAAAATTAAATGATATCGCCAGTAAACATTCAAAATATATACCAAATGATATTTAGTTAATRAAATTATCTTATGAAATTATTTTTCGTTGATATTTAGATGTTTGAATAATTTAATTAGCACAATAGACATTGAATTAGCCAATCAAAACAATCGTTATAACACACAATTCCACGTGACATCGAAGGTAAATTGATGTGCTTGTTCAATTGCTTTATACAAACTGTGATCATTTGTGTTTCTGGGTGATTTTCACGGTCTTAAACATGCCACACGTCGATCACAGCATCAAACTCGATTTTAAAGATGTACTCATCAAGCCAAAGAGAAGTACCATACGCAGTAGAGCCGATGTAAGTAACGATACGTACAATAAATTGACCAAGCATGACTATGCCGGTAAATTTTACGATCATGCTGAAATTTTACCATTTCCATTCCAAGTCATTRCGACAACAAACAAATTGGTTCGTATGTTTATAAGCGATCGAAAACAGCTGTGCACGTGTTTTCATCTACACATTTTGTGTATGTTCGTTTTGATTTGATCGCTCTCAGAGAAAAGACACCTGATAATGTTGATTTGAACGTCCAAAACGTTTTCTTTTTCAATTCAAATTCTTTCATTATGACCCACGTTCAACCGGTGTTATTATAAATAAATAAGATATCATACTCGTTTGTTTTAAATTTAATACTACTAAGACCACASCATGTTCGTCCAATAATTCTCATATCAAAATATAATTGTGTATATATTTGTTTCAGGTTGATCTGTCCAGGCATTTCACATTCCGATATGCCAAGAAACGGTTCCCAGAYGATACTATTCCCATTGTTGCGGCCAACATGGATACCATTGGAACATTTGAGCTTGCAGAGGCCCTCGCACAGGTCTGTCAGCTACTGTCGGTCTATCTGTCACTTGAGTGTATGTCAGGCATGGTCAATGCATCATCGAATACCATGGAAGATTATTCTGATGATAAACACTTATAATGATATTTTGCCATTTGGCCACTTTGTTTGGYGGTTTTCAGTGGAGTATCAAACATCCCTTCTTTAAGGATATTGAATAGARCATCAAACATCTTGATGAAGGTTTAAGGTGTTTGGCTACATTGTTTGATGGTATTTGATGTTCTTAGAAAGACTATTGGATAGAGGTCAAAAACATTGACCACACAACAATTTGTTTGATGTTTGGACAGTTTGTTTTGGAAACAAACATTTCTTGTCACAAGATTTTTGGTATAAAAATCGTTGTTTTCACTAAATTGTTACTTTGATTGCCTTCAGCACAAAGTTTTAACAGCAATCCACAAGCACTATCCCGTTGAGGCTTGGAAAGAATTTGGTGAAAAACATCCTGAAGTTTTACCTGTAAGTAACTGGAAAGAAAGAAAAAAGCAACCTAGAATTTATTTTTGGTTATATTTGTTTATCAAACTCATTAATAATTCATAAGGTAAACACAATGGAAAATCAGTGCTGTCACCACATCTTTATATGTCGTGAGCAAGAGATTTGTCCTGATTKGCATACAACTTTAACTTCGATTTTCTCTTAAAAACAATAYTTTATCTTGAATATGCTTTAGCTTATGTTGGAATTTGACAAGCAATATAAAATATTTTTGCGCCCGACCTTTATGGGCTATAAAACTGCTCGCTTGCAGCTCGCAGTTTTATATGCCCATAAAGGTCTCCCGCTCATATTTTATATATTACATAAAAATGGTAACATAGTGGAGTATGACATCATACTATTATAATCATATTGTTTTTTGAAATTTTGAGACAGAATTTCTTTAGGTAAGGGCTTAAAAAATGTAGGTAGTCTAAATTATGTCTTCATTTCTTAGTATGTAATGTAGGTAGTCTAAATTATGTCTTCACTTCTTAGTATGTAATGGCTAGCTCTGGTATGATGGAAAAAGACATGGAAAAATTAAAGAAGATCATCGAGGTTTGTCCAGCTGTTCCAGCCATCTGTCTTGATGTTGCCAATGGTTACTCTGAGCACTTTGTAGAATTCATCAAATCAGTCAGGCATCAATTCCCTGAGCACATCATTATTGTAAGTATTATTGGAATCCTTACAGGGGCTCATACATAGTGTATTTATGTACCCTTACAGGRGCTCACATATACAGCGTATTTATGTACCCATAAAAGTTTACCTCAAATGTGAGAATCCTTATARGGCCTCATATATAGTGTATTTATGTACCCTTACAGGAGCTCACATATACAGCGTATTTATGTACCCATAAAAGTTTACCTCAAACATCAGAATCCTTACAGGGCCTCATGCATAGTTTATTTATGCACCCTTACAGGGGCCCAGATATGCATTATATTTATGTACCCTTAAGAGTTTCCGTCAAACATCAGAATCCTTATAGGGCCTTATACATAGTTTATTTATGCACCCTTGCAGGGGCCCATATATGCATTATATTTATGTACCTTTAAGAGTTTCCCTCAGACATCAGAATCCTTACAGGGYCTCATRCWTAGTTKATTTATGYACCCTTACAGGRGCTCACATATACAGTGTATTTATGTACCCTTAAAAATTTCCCTCAAAAATAAGAATCCTCACAGGGCTGACATATACATTGTATTTACGTACCCTTAGAAGTTCCCCTCAAATATTAGAGTCCTTTACAGGGGCTCACACCTGCATTGTATTTTATATGCTATCATTAGTACCCCTTTCAACAGAATTATGTTTTTTTGTATAGTGAAGTCTTAAAGGCTCTCAGTTGTATGTGGCTGTAACGTAAATACACCAATGGATAAATTGTAATCTTGTAATTTCATCACTAGGCTGGAAATGTTGTCACAGGAGAAATGGTTGAACAGCTCATTCTTTCTGGTGCAGACATTGTTAAAGTTGGTATAGGACCAGGTGTGATATTCTTAAATGCTTTCTAATATCAAAATAATAATAATAATATTAATCAAAAAAGATTAGTGTTAAGGTGAAAAATGAACAGCAGAGTTTTTTATCAGGAATAACTATGCAATTAATTGTGATGTAACATAGAGATAAATATATATATTTTTTATTTAAGAAAGAGAAAAAAGGCCACACTTGTCTCTGCTCTCTGATACAAGCACGGTGCGAGGTTGAGAGCACCAGATAAGCAAGCCTAGGAACAATTGACTGCAGAGAGTGTTTCTCTTGCTTCTTTAGTGCTCTTCAACTTCCACAGTCCACCATATTTATATCAGAGAACTGAGACAAAACTGACTGTTTTATATTTTTCTTTTATAAAATGTTTCTGTCAAGCATGCAAGCTGCAAACTATGTCTCTGTCCAATTATAAAAACATGATCATCAGCCAATGAGAGTAATTGTTATATCTAAAAAATAAACATTTCTATTTTCAAAGGCTCTGTTTGTACCACCAGACAACAAACAGGAGTAGGCTATCCACAGTTGAGTGCTGTTTTGCAATGTGGAGATGCAGCGCATGGATTAAAAGGGCATATTATATCAGTAAGTAGTGATGCATGTCATGTCTTGATTGGCTAAGAAACCTTGACAGTTGATTGGCTTATGATTTGATTGACAATTGATTGGCTTATGTCTTGATTGGCTAACGACCCTTGACAGTTGATTGGCTAATAATTTGATTGATRATTGGTTGGCTCATGTCGTGGTTGGCTAACAATCGTTGAGATTTCATTGGATAATGAATTGATTGACAGTTGATTGGCTCATGTCTTGATTGGATGACAATCCCTGACATTTCATTGGCTAGTGAATTGATTGACAATTGATTGGCTCATTTCTTGATTGACATACAAACATTGGCTTCAAATGTAGTTTTATTTACATTTTTGTGTATATATTTATAGGATGGTGGTTGTACTTGTCCTGGAGATGTGTCTAAAGCATTTGGTAAGCTGCTACTTGATTAATAATGATTGTTGGATTGAT